TTTTTGTAATGAACTCCGATTTTGTAGACCCCCCAAAGACCCCCTAACCCGCCAAGCTGCCGTGACAAAAGAAACCCCCATAACCACAAAATTCAGGGAGGGAGGGTGGGACAACCTGCTTCCTTCGTCGATTTCCGGAAAGAGGACGTCCCTCAGCCCTCGCAGTTCCTTCCCATGCGGCTCCTCCCGGACACCTGACTCCCACGTCCAATCAGGCAAGAGCAGCCATTCCCATTTTTTTTTTAACCCTTTCTCCCGGGACTATTCCTCCCCCCAGTCATGTAGCCCCTCCGCTTAGTCTCTCCGTGTCTGTCTTTTATGTGCTTCACCCAACAGTCTTTGCTGTGGAAAAGTACTGTGCTGGGATTGTATCCTTTTTGATTGGGGTTTAGGCATTGCCAATCATTGTAAAGAGTATCATTAGAAGGAGGGGCTGGCTATAACAAAACCCTTGAGCATGTTCGGTTATTTCTCTTGTTCCTGCCACTCCCCAGTTGGGAGGCTGCTGCCTAAAAGGAGAATTATGGGGTGAGTGAAAAACATTCATCCCCATAATTCAAGCCGACCTGTGACACTGAAGCTGTCACAGGTCGGCACTATTGATCGGGAAGTCAGGAAACACATACTGCCAATTGCTGACTTCCCTGATCCTCTCCCCGCAGAGTGTAGTAACTGTCAGTTACCCCTCTGGATAGGGATTTCCCCCTCCCCTCCCCGTTTCTCCAGCGCTGACTCGAGAGGCAGAGCCAGCTGTCAATCAGCCAGCAGGGTGGATCTTAACAGTATCGTCGGTATCTGTCCCGGCTGAGGCGCAGCTCTGCGCTCTCAGCATATAGCGGGCAATAGCCTGCTATATACTGAATTTTGCCTCACCGGAGGACATGAGTATATGTCCTCTTGTGACCCTGAAAGGAACTATGGCCAAAAAAGGGTTAGGCCATAGTTCTCTATAAATTATTTTCGTGTCTACAAACTATACAATGCATCTATTACCAATACCTCTCACTTGGCACTTATGTTGAAAAAAAATAAAAAAATAAATCTGCACTACCATGATTTATGCTCATTATGATCAGAACCATAGGCAGGAATAAGCAAAAAAGTATGCAAAAATCTTTGCAATGTATATGGTAAACCTGGAGAGGGAACACATTGCAGACCCATTCTGCTGGAATTCTCATCTGCATGCTGATGTTGCAAATAAAGAGCTATTTTGAACATTGAGCATTGCATTGCCAATAGCAGAATCATGCTGCTGCCTTATGCCACCTTGCTGCTTGATTCCCAGAAAGCTATAAGCCAGCGCTTGGTTTCATGCTCCAACTTTAACTCAAAATAGAAATGTCACATTTAAATAACTTGGCCTTCAACAGCAACTGCATGTGAAACAATATGGCCGTAAAAGGGCCACTATTGGCTAATTTTAAATGGATATTTTCGGGATGTGGAAAGTGCAGAAATGTCTCTAATAATAATAATAAAATAACTTGTTACTAGTAACTGCAGTTGGATTGTAAGCTCTTCAGCCAACAGACATGGCCATTAAAGTGGTATTTCAGACAAAATATTTTTTGGCTTTGTTTTGGCTAGAGCAGGGAAGGGTTAAAACCTCCTTTAGGTTTTCATTGTGGTCTGTGTCTGGTGGTCGCTTCGACTGGAAATGGGGGTAAATCTAATCAATGGGCCACAGGCAACAATAAAAACACTCCCTCTAGAAGAGCAGTGAAGGGTATGCGTTTTTAATGCGGACTTCATCCCCACTGAGGATATCTCCCTACGTTTCCTTGACTTGCAAGTGGTCATCAGGACAGGAAGTGAAGAGATCTCCACAACAGAGGACACAGACAGTGATGAAAACATGGCAGTGGTTCTTATACTTCCACACTCTATCCAGAACTAAAAACCAAAGTCTGGAATCCCACTTTAAAGACCATACAGTAAAACATGATACCAGAAGGAAGTTTAAGTGAGTAAGAGCCAACCAATTGGGACAAACACGTTAAGAGTCAAGATTAGCAGAGGAAGATTCCTTGAGAGGTAGAAAAGTTGCTTAAGGTTAGAGATTGACATGAGGTTTTACCTTCACCAGGGGACAAGGGGACATGAAATGCTACAAGGGAAACAAAATGAGGAATTAACTCTTAATTAATAAAGTGATCAGTCAGTGATTAGAGCAATCCAGAGGGTAAAAAGACAATTAAAAGGGCAACTCAAGCAAACAGCTACATACACAAGCATAATACAGACAACAACATTGTATATATGTAAGGAATATGTAATGATTACTGAATGTGCTGTGATATGTGGATACATAAGAAGGATAATAACATTTTCAGAGACTAAAATTCTACAAAGTCTGTGTCATTGTCCCACCTCCTGCCCATACTTAAAATGGCCATTATATCACACTGCAGATTCTGCACTCGTTTGTTTGCACACAAAAACCAGCTGATACTATGGGGTCTAATTATAAACCTAAACACATTTCTCTGCATATAGGTGTAAATATATGCAAAAACAAACATTCTTAATTTTTTTTTTCTTTTCAAGTGCAATGCAACTTCCAATGTTTTGATGTAATATCACATTATGGCTACTAGATGAAGCTAAAGGAACATAGGAAACAAGTATTTATTTCCAATGCTCCTCAGCTCCATCTAGGGGCCATAATGTATTTTTACAACACACTACATTCCAACTGGGGCAAAAAAAAAATGTATCAAGAACCATCGTTTTTGGCATAATTTGCAGCAAAGGGCCCTGAGAATTGTTTATAAATACACTCCTTTCTGTAGTTGTGAATTCTTCTAAAGTAAAATATCCAAAGCACATCGACAATCCACAAAATGTACACATAAATAAGCAGTGCAATACAGTTCCTCTTATTTAGAGGGACAATCCACTCAAAACAGTGTTTAATAGATGCTGGATAGTTAAACCAACAATTTCTTATATCTCTCAGGGACTCCATTAGTGAGATCACTGTGCTCAGTTCCCAGGCCTGTATACCTGCTTGGCCCAGTATGGGGAGTTCCCACTCTTTCTGCCGGATTTTACATTTATTTTACATTATATAGAATGAAAAGGTAGAAGCTGGAACAAAGATGGGGCTAAGATAGGCGTTTTGGGCCACTTCAAAACTTCCAGGTGAACAAATGACTGAATTGAAAATGACGGAAGGCAGAGAATCCAAGACACATAGGATGCTAAAGGCTGATTGAGCTCACCAGAAATTACCTAGAATTAAAATATCATTTATCTATATAATATCTAGTGGATTGACCCATTAATCAAAGCTGATGCTATGAAGCTGAAGTCACAAAAAAATGACCACACTTATATATGAATGCTGCTTTCCAGGATCCTATACTTACTGCTTTGAGAGGTCTTAGGTTTGGCAATATATTTAAGGATGGGATTTCGCTTCTTGTCATCTGCCGAATCACGGTCTTTTTCTTTCTTTGCGTTGCTGCTCTGTAAAGACAAAATCTCTGGGGTCAGCAGGTATATGCAGGAAATAAAATGTACTTGGAAAATCATAGGGAAAAAAATTAGGACCTAAAACTGGCATTTAAAAGAGAACTGAAACCAAACCTTTTTTCTGGCTTTCCTCCTTATTTGGGTCATAGGAGTATATTTACTAATGTACTCCTGTGACCCAAAGTCAGCATCTAGCAGGCTCCTGCCAGAGCCAAGCTGGGATCCACCCCGCTGCCAGCAGCCAGCTGTGCCCGTCCCCTTCCCTCCCTTAGTTTTCCTAAACAGCCTCCCTGATGGGGTCCCCTCCTACCCTAGGCCCCAGAGCAGCTGCGTGGGCTGCTATGGCTATTGTTATGCCACTGTGCTGAACTCCATCTGCCTGCTTTTTTTTGCCTAATTTTCTTTGTCTGAATTTGTCTCTGTGGCTGAAATTGGACCTGGAAGTCCCCCTAAGATTTTACATCTGCAGCCTTTTCAAATGCCTGACCTCTTGCTGATAACAAACACTGTCAACCAGCTCCCAAGTGGTAATAGCAGTATCAAGTAATGCAATGGTAGTAGTTTACATTGTTCACAACTATGAGGTTCGTTCCTGGTTACCTTTATGAAGGAGCCAGAAGAAAGTGCTATCAGCATAAGATCAGACAACAGATAACAGAGCAGCAACGGTCAAACCACAGGAGGCCTCTCAGTTCTGACTGTCGAAATTGAAGTTGTCATCACACAATTAAATTAAAACTTTACTTGATAAATAAAAAACATTGCTAGGATAGAGGTTTTTTTTATAAGCAGGAGAAACTTTCCATAAGCAAGAGTTACATCTGAAGTGGACGACCAATGGCAGAACCTGATAAAACCCAGAAGATGTTGATGCTTTACTTCTCTTTTGGGTCACATTTACTAATGTACTCCTGTGACTCAAAGTTAGGAGATAGAAAGCGATTGACCACTATTTGCTGACAGTGCAGAACCACGCTAGATCCCGACAACATTGTCGGGATCCACCTCACTCCCTGATTGACAGCTAGCTCTGCCTTTCTGCAGCCAGAGCCAGCTGTGCCCGCCCCTTCCTCTGTCTGTACCTCCAATGAGCACTGGAGGAACAGAGAGGGGAGAAGGGAATACCTGCGAGGAGCCGTGACAGTCAGATTGTGAGAGATTGTGAGCTGAGCGAACAGCGGCTAAATGTTTGCTCACCTTTTAGTATAGAGCTGCATATGACAACTGCAGTGTCCCACACCAACTCTTAACTGCAGGAGAATATGTTTAAGGCTGGCCATGCACTGTTATAATCAATTTTTTAAAAAATATAATAGTTTGCCCAATCCACCCTAAACAGCGTATAGACAAATCTCCTGCTGGTCTATTATATTCTGACAGCGGTGGGTGTGCCCTGTCAGAATACCGAAACACTGATGGCAGCTGGTCGACTGCTGTCACTGCTCACCTAAAAATTCTGACCGACTCCTTCAATTTTCTGATCAAATGATGTCGGGCAGAAGGGTATAGACAGGGCTAGGCACTGAACGGATTATGGCAGCCAAAATTCATATAGTGTATGGCCAGCTTTACTCTGCCCGCACTTCTCCTTTAACTATAAGGGATATTATATAAAGATTTCATAGGTATACCTGACTGTTTTTCAAATCCTAACACTTAGGGCTCATTCACACAGTGTGCACATCCATACGGCGTACAGCCACAGGGAGGTACAGGCCGCTGAACGCAATTACGCGCAGCACCTGTCCCTCCCGGGAGCAGGTCTTTACATGGACAATTCACGCCCGCGTGAATGAGCCCTTATTATGTAAGATTTGTATATAGTATGGCGGACTGCACCAGGTTACCAACATCACTCACCTTCTTAGCTTTGTTTAAAAAAGGAAGCCATTTGTCTTTGTCGGGAATACTTTGGGATTTCTCAGAGACGCTGGGAGAAGGGAATTCTCGAAAGCTAATGCCAGCATGACTCATATATGTTCGCAAAGCAAAATTCATATGGGAGCTGTACAGAAAGAAAATAAGAGGTTATTTTATAAAAAGACCTTTCTGAAATTTCTCTAAAAAATGTTTAATATTTATACACGAATGGCACAAACAATTATTTGTACCGAGGGAAAAAAAAAAAAGAAAAGAGGAACATGGTTTAGCACTTTTTGAATCTGAACCCCAGGAAGATATACTTAATGCAGTCTGTTATCATTAATACATTATTAAATAAATGTTTAAATGCAAGCAGTGGAAGTCCCTGTAAGTCAGAGCTCAGACTAGATGAGAAAGGAAACAGCACAAGCAGCCAATCTAGTGTGCTGCAATGCAAGGAGCATGCTGAAAGCAGAGAACGCATAGTGAAGGAGAGATGAGCTCATTACTCTACTACTCCTCCTTTAAGTGTAGGAATGGGGAGGAAACCTGTAAGTGAAATGAAACTGCAGCAGAGAAAGGTAGGGCTGTGCTATGTAGCACTAGATGGACAGAAATAAACGTCCTTTGTGGGGTACAGCAGCTCCCATATTTCTATTTCCTCTTTGTATTTAGTGGTTTGTCTGGAGTTCAGCTTTAAATAAAAGTACAGCTCTCCTTTAATGTATTGTAGTCAGTCGTTTCAGCTGGCCCTGATTTTAGAACAATATCAATAAGAACTCAACATTTAATTGTGTCTGCGAATATGGCGATCGCGGTCTATAGGAGCCTACAGCACATGCTAAGTATTTGTACATTTGTATAATTAACTTATTGTACAATACTGACAAACAATGATGCACAATCACACAAATTTTGGAATAAGAGCATTACACATAATGGTTATGGGCCTATATATATATATATATATATATATATTACATATAGTATATATATTGCAATATATGTCAGTGCAATCATAATCGTCAACAGGAGATGGACCAAGGATAATACTACTGTGACCCAAAAAAATCAAAAATGCTATGGATGACAGTCTAGATAGTAGTTGACAGCAATACAAACCATCATGAATTTCAGTTCTATTTATTTCATGAATTCTACATACATGCCTTTTCAGTCTTAATAAAGGGTTAATTGTGTACTGTTCAAGCAGTGTGCTTTAAAAGCTTGCAGGATGTGACAAGCTATAAATACATTTCTGATATGGATGAGTAGTGCAGGTTAAACAGAGGGATTTGTGGGTTCTAATAGTCCAAGCTGCTAAGCACAAAATCTTCTATGCACACAAATACTGCACAGGCCTGCAAACAGCCCTGCATACCACCCAGGGGCTGACTGAAGAGAAGGCAAGTAGAATTGTTGGCCAAATCTTTGCTACTGTTTTCATAAATCCATTTAATTATTGAGTACCAGTTCCCATGGACTGCAGTGGTAGCACCAAAATAAAACGGCAGTGATATTGCCATTGCCGCCATCTCTCAGAGTATGAACTTGAGGTGGAACCCTCCAGTGACACAAGTATCCATCACCCCAAATTGAAGCCCATTCAAAGTAAAGCCATGCCTACTAACTAATCTCATCAATGTCATCTAATCAATGTCATCTGCATAAATCACATTGTCAACTTGCACCTCTGAACAACCCCTCCTCCTAGGCCACATCTTTTGAAATAAGTGGGACAGTCAGATCACGTGATCTGATTTTAGAAGATGATTGTTGGTACTTTTATTAAGGCTTTAATGCATGTAAGTGGTGGTTTCTCTACTGAGCTAAGTCTTTTTCCAGTGCGTAGATTTACAAACGACTGAATATTCACTACCCATGTGTACATGGTGTAGCCACTTACAGCACATAGAATGTTTTATTGTGTTATAATTTAGACTGTGAAGCCCAATACGAAGAAATTTACCCAGCTTTAATAAAATAATAAAATGATCAAACACAACAGATCAGCCCAATCTTCAGGTATATGGACATCCTACCACTGCAATAGCTAAATATTACCCACACAGCAACATACCTTCTCTCCTCTTCATACTTTGACCTGAAAAGAGAATATGAAAACTGTGAATTTTAAAGAACTGTGAAAGGAAGGAGGTTAATGAGTAGTGGCAAATCAGAAGTGGGAGGACAGAGATGGAGAAAGATGGAGAAATAGCTAGAAGAAGAAGTAGATAATTCAGCAGTACAGCGTCATTTAGGAGAGGAGTATGTTGACATTATGGGAGTGTGCAGTTCATGCCAACTAAGAATACCACGTGGATGAGTGGTGAAATGTCTACTACACTACTTAACTACAGTCCAGTGTAATGTGACTAACTACTACTAGCTATACCATGACCTGGATATATGTGAACACACAATGCGGGGGGGATCAAAGTCCTCCAATAGCATAGAGCATTTCAGAAAAGGTTAGTTGGTAAACTAAAGTAAACAAAAGTTAGTAACTAAGTTCAGTGCTCTGTGTGAGAGGAATAGTGTTACAATGTGAGGAGTGAAATGGAGGAGAGTGGACATGCATACAGATATGGAAGGGGCACAATCCCCAGCAGAAGTCACAATGTTGAAATGCATTTCTGTGGGGAACTAAGATCACACATACAACGTCTAACAAAAGATGGATGTGTTTTCTGTGTCTTCACAATACATGAAAACTCACAAGATTTCCCTCAGATGTTCTATCTGCTTAAGGGCAACATCATGCTCTCTATGTGGGTCTGAATCAAGGTCGAGAAGGTCATTCTCTCCATACAGGCTACCCAGGCCCATTGTTCGCTTTGACCTGGAAGAAGACAGAACAACAATATTTGTTTATATGGCAACACCAGCCAAATACACCGTGAATAAAACAGAGAAACTGTTTTAACGATCAAAGGATTTTGTAAATTAATGCACATACTCCTGTGGCAGGAACCTTTTCAGAGCCTGTAGTTCTTAGTACTCCAAAGCACTATCCTCCTTCCATGTCTGCTTTAGGGGCATCTAGTAGGCTATATGGCCTAAAATGTGCAGGCACCTGACCATCACATCTCTATGAGCTTGTTGGACATCCCATTCCAATACCATGAGTATTAATATTAGGTTCACCCCACTGTGCTTATAACTGCCTCAACTCTTGTGGGAAGGCTTTTCCACCAACTTTTGAAAATTGGAATTTGTGTTCATTCAGCCAAAAGAGCATTTGTGAGTTCAAGTAAAAAGCATTTATGTGGACAGGTACTGATATTTGATGAGAAGGTATGAGAATCATTCTAAAATTGTTCAGTAGGGTTCAGGTCAGGGCTCTGTGCAGGCCGCACAACTTCCTTCACACTAAGCTCATCAAACAATGTCTTTATGTGCATAGGAGCAAGTCATGCTGAAACAAAAAAGGGTCTTTCACTAAATTGGAAGTGCACAAATGTCCTTAATGTCCTTGTGTGCTTTAGCATTAATATACTTTTGGCCATATAGCGTAACATCAGCATACTGGTGACTCCCCGTCCGAACTCTGTCTCCTCTAAACTCTAAACCTAGGCACCTACACCTCATCCATCACCTTGCATGGAAGGCACTCTCATTGCAAGTCTGATTTCAGCAGGTGTAAGCAGGCTCAGATACATATAAAAAAAAAAAATTACAATACAGAACAAAAATACTTTCATGGTTAGGAAGGAACACATGAGCTTTGAAAGTGTGTTTTAGTTATCCAGCTTTAAAACATAAATCAAACAAATACCTTTTGCAAATATACTTCTGATAGTTAAAGGAAAAACCCACCAAACTGTACAGAGTAAAAAATGATTTGTTAAGAACATAATCTTTTCATCTCAATATTTATGACATTTTCAAAAAGACAAAAAAAAAGAGATTACCTATAATCTTGTATCTGCTCCTGTATCTCTGGTATCATGGCTTCCTGGGCATCACTCAAAGCTCCACGAATATCCTCAGAGCAGAGTAAACGGGAATCTATTAAAGACAAACATTACAGATCAAAGCTTTAGAAGACGCCAACAAAATTATTATTATTATACAGGATTTATATAGCGCCACCAGTTTGCGCTACGCTTTACAATATAAGGAAGACATTACAATCACAATACAATTCAAGACAAGATGGTAAGGAGGGCCCTGCCTGTGAGGGCTTACAATCTAAAAGGGAGAGACAAGTGATACATGAGGAGTTAGCTGTGTGGGGATGATTTGTTTGAGAACGTGATGGTTGAGTGGTTAGTTTGAGGTGGGATAACAAAATTAGCGATCACTTTATTTCATGACTGCTGCAGGAGAGTCCAATAACAATTCCACAGGGCCAATGGCAGAAATAAACATATACATGTAAAATTGGGACTTAAGTCCCTCTTGAGCTTTTTAGTACACCGGACAGCAGTTCTCCTGCTTCTACAGAAATGTTACGTTTGCTTTTAGGGCCAGGTAGCTTGCTTGATGCCCTACCCACATGCCCAAAAAAAAAATACAAACCTTATGTAGACATTATCCCAAGCAGGGACTGAATCCAAGACCAAAGTATTGTAAGACAAGAGAAATAAGCACCATGCTGCCCCATATGTTGCCAAATACTGCTAAATGCATCAGTCCTACAGATATCACAAACAGCCATGTGACTGCTATTCAACATTGAATCCAGGGCTTTGAGGGGTGGAGACTCTTTGTAACAATCCGCAGCTTGTGCCAATGTCATGTATCCCAACTGTTGTCACTCAAACAGTGCAGGGTTGGATGGGGGCATGTCAGCTGACCACTTAAATACAGGCACACCATCCCGTAGCTCACGAGTGAAGGGCAAAGGCACAAACTGACCACACTAGGATGGACCTGCTTCCACCCATGGTGTGGTCATATAGCAAGAGAATGGAAGGAGGGCTGGCAGGATCACCAGGTATTTGACAGCAAACTAACACAAACAACTAGAACATGGAATATGGTAACAGGTTTGAAATATCTACACAAAATGTTTTTTTGGGTAATGCACTACACCTCTGATTCATAATACATCAGGGGAAAAATTAAGGATATGCTAAAGCTGGAGCATATTTCCTATTTTAGAGGCTCACGTCGATCTTGCAATTCCAGACCATTTTAGAATGGCTCATATATCTCAAAGTGCCAGGCCAGACATAATAAATACAGAAATGTAATAAATATACAGTATATGAAAAGGTAATGATTGATATTCTACTTACCAATTTCATTCAGCAGTTGTTCAGGAATTTTGACCCTCAGAGGCTGGAAAACAAGACAAGAGAGTTCACATGTGTTCTGCAGGCAATAGTATAGGGATGGTCATACAAAGCACTACGCTATATGGAAGTAAAGTGAATTAACACGTAATTAGATGACACTTCACCTGCACCAGGCTTATAGGGCAGCCATAGTCTTTTTAATAAAATTTTTGGATGTATTGTACATGTACAGGTGACCAGCCTAAAATAGGATTTGAAACAACATTTTTTTTATTTTGTTATTCGTTTTGAGTTTTGATAGACAGGGAAAGTTAGAAACTCATTCAGGTTTTCACTACTTTCTGTGTCTCCATAGTGGAGGTTTGTCCTCACTTCCTGTGTCAGTGATGTTGAGTCACCAAAACAGGAACTAGGATAAGAATTAGAACTTTAGGTCTTTGTTGCTCTTCATGTTGAAGAGGTTTATCTTCAATTCCATTTTGAAACACTGCCATGGGAGCAGGAAGTAAAGAGAAATCCTTCCACTATTTTCCAAATAGTCATAATGAAGATGTCATGCTTTGCTTTCAAAGCTTGAACTTGTGTGACATAAGTGCTGGATTCAGCTCATCAATGGCTCAACATTGCAAACAATCAGACAAATTCAAAAAGGGCACAATGACTTAGTTGAGGCCATTCTCAAACACAAACAGGGCACCCCTTGCATGGGGGGTCATCATTTGTAAACCACATTTACAAAGTTAAATGAAAGCACCAAACCAATGAACCGAGGGTCCCCAAGCTGATAATAATTGTGTTTGTTTCACAAGACACTATAAAACAGTCAATACGTTTCTGGGGCTCAGAGATTCTGCCATTCTGAGTCCTCCTAAGTACAACAAACACCATTATTAAAAGCTTTTGAGCTTTCAGTTGATAGGTTTGGTGCTTTCATTGGACTTTGTACATATGCTCTTAAACCTGGACCCCCCAATAACTTGTTTTTCTACATTATGTAGAATCCATCCAATTGATCTGACACCCTAATTTGGCTTTGCAAATATAACAGCAGGGAAAGTCTCAGTGAATATGTGAGAGTGAATATCTCAGCACTGGCACCCTCAATTAATAGGTTTTCATAAAATTGACTAGACAACAATCATACAAACTTGAAATATTAGCTTTGGAAGGAGTCAGCCTTTATTGTCTACAGTTTGCCCAGCAGGTCAAAAAAAAGGGTGTCCCCTGCTGATCATCTATTACAGTAACTTACAGCATTTTTATCCAGGAAGGTGATCCAAATATCTTTGCCCAATGCAAATGCGTCTCTGGCATTCTGCTGCTGGCACACCTCCGCGCACAGGTAGAAGAGCTGTAAGGAGTAATGATACACCAGTAAGAGAAGGCACAAGAAAGCATAAAACCTTCTCAAAGGAGGCTCCATCATCGAGGACCTGCCATCTACATGGAAGATTTTAATTTAATATTTTTTAAGTGGAGATCTTCATTATTGACAACTAGCTTAATTGAAGGATGGAAAAAATGAATTTGACCCAAGTCTTCCCATAAAAATAAAATATTAGTTTCAGAAGGCTTTGAGTTGGCCATATTTAAGAGGTCTCCCTCCGAAATGTCTAATCAGTGCTGTATGGATGTGATATACCTCCAACAATAACTGCTTTCTTCCCTCTGATCCAATTTCCCAGATTAGTAGAACACTGTTCTGCCAGATCTGTCTCCAGTTAAGAGCTGCTTGTGCTGTTGCTGGGTATGCTCAGATACAATCCATTGGAGATTGCCTTTTAATGCAAGCCGAGGAGCATGCTGAAAATTGTCTTTAGAAGCAGAAATTAATACTAATCCACAAGCAGACACTGGGGTTCAGAGTACCGGTCAACTATATAATTTTAGAAGACCTTGTATCAAAATTGCAAAGCTTGCTTATCCTATAGACCTCATCGTCCCATGTTAAAACATTTTTTATTAACATAAAAAAAAAAAAATCACACCTGAAGAAAAGTGAACAATATAGTTAAAAGAGAACTATGGGGTAAGTGTTTTTCCCCATAGTTCTCTTACGGATCATGGGAGGACATATACTAGCATCCTCCCGTGACCGAAAGCTCAGTATATAGCGAGCTACAGCTCGCAGTATACTGAGACCACCGCAGCCGAGACGGATCCCGAAAATGCTGTCGAGATCCACCCAGCTGCGTGATTGAGTGAGCTCTGCCTATCTAGAAGAAGAGCCAGCTGTACCCGCCCCCTCCCCCGTCCGTTCCTCCAGTCAGCGCTGGAGGATCGGAGCGGGGAGGGGGGGGAATCACTGCAGGGAGCCGTGACAGGGAAATGATCAAGAAGTGAGCGAGTGACAGTATGTGTTGGCTCACTTCCCGATCTATTGAGCCAATGTGTGACAGTTTCATTGTCACACGTCGGCTCAAACTATGAGGATGAGTGATTTTCACTCACCTCATAGTTCTCCTTTAACTTACACCCCAACAACCATCTGTTGCACTTAGGATCCCAGTTATCAATAAACGATGCCCCTGCACTGTGATCGAGCATATTCTCACAAGGTTTGGGATCCTCAGCTTTCCTTTCTCAGGATCTCACCAGAAAGCCCATTAAGTCACCTTTGCCTAGGCATTGTAGGCAGAAGCTGGGGTGCGAGATAGGGTTAAAAGGATAAGTTGACTGCTTTAAGCTGTGTGAGCAAAACTTCTCTAAATTACCTGCACACATTAAATTGTGTGCATATGCAATTACTTTAAATGTGAATGGTCACATAAGGCCTACCAGTGGATTAGGGTCAGCTTCAGCTTGAGAGAAGATGTATCTCAAAAACACCCCCATATGGGCTGGCCGAGCTTTGAGCTTCTCCAGGTCTAGACTATCATACTGCAAGAAGAAACGGAAAAATATTACTTGGCACAAAAACACATCATAGGATTTAAATTAAGCATGATAACTTAGTTAGATGGTTCATTTGCTATACTGAGATATACAGAGCAATGTCAGGAATTAAGCACTAGTTTTAAACAATACATTAAAGTGGGCATAAAATTGTAGTATAAGTGACTCAAAATCACATCTCACCCTCCCCACTGCATAGATAGGCACAAGCACATATCTCAGATCAACCTTCAACCTAATTTCTTAAGTTCTTAGCATGGGCAGGGCTCGGTTTTGTTGGCATGCTACTCCTAGCCGGCAGACTGCCTATTACTGAATATGCGCTAACTATATTCAAGGTCTACAACAGGCTGCCTGTACTAGAGCTACAGACATCTCATTATAATTTATGGACACAAATAGTACATGCTCTGTGCTGCTTAAACTGCCAACTAGAAGAGACATGCACACACGGGGTTGTTGTTCCTGTAGCGTTATTTAACTACCACATCAGGCATCTAAAAGTTCAAAAACAAATCTTTGGAGACCTGCTTGAGCAACCCAAGACATCTAAACTATGACACAGAAATCAAGCTCCATCCCGCCCTCTGTGGCCTTCCAAAAGGTTAGGGCTGGTGATGGATGGGCTTAACCTACAACAATTACATTGATGGATGGCCTCAAAGACTTACATTGGAGGTACAGCATGGGTCAAGCCAGTGTTCAACTTTCTGTCTAAGAGATATGCAGGCACATAAATGTGCTTGCAATAAACTCCTGATGACTATTTAGTAAATGTAACACAACAGGTAACACAGCAAGTACCATTGTGTTCTACATTATTGCAAGTTGCAGAGTTTTAATAGAGTGAAAGATGACCTTTTCTGACCCTTCAAAGTGAATCTGCAGAAGGACCTACAGAAGAGTCTGGGGCTTTATTCCGCTCACATTCTTAAGCTGGCTGAGGGACCAATGCTCAAAAGACTTTAATATGCCCGCAGTAGACCATTCTTACAGTCTCGTGTATGAAAACTTACTTGAAGTAAGTAGGTCAAAGCGGACTGGCTGTTAAGAGCAACACAGAAAGTTCCCTCTTTCAGTTATTATCATTAAATAGTCCCTTCCTGACAAGTGAATATTCTTGAGAATGCAACCTACCAAGTGAGATGGAGAAGGTAGGCACAACCATCCTGATCCTGCAGGTGTCTAAATGGCCCACAACCATAGTTTTCACATGTTGGTACCAAGAATATATTTTACCTCGGTTATGTAGTCTCCATGGTCATAATCGTCTTCTGGACATATGATAGAAGGTCGGCTGTTGTCGGTCTACAGAACCAAAATAAAGTGTTGTTTTTACCTTTGCTACTACTTAATCATTTTTTAGAATAAAATGTCACTCGAAATACCTGCTGCTTTACAAAACACAAAGAAACAGTCACCAAGAGCAGCGTTAGGACTATCTTTCCATTAGCATTAAAAAAATGTAAAAGGTTTCCTTTTTATCAGGATGAAAGTGGCAGAAATGTCCACACACCCCACTTCTGTGTCGTTGATTAGCCGGGGTTCCCTGGCTCAATATCTCTTGCCAATCAGCTGTGTGAAAGCCCTGGAGAAACTCCAAAATTACCACCATTCAGGACAAAGTAGTGATGTACTGTAGGTATTAAAGGAAGGAACCGAAGTGCCCGGTAAGAGACATAACCATTCGACATTCCCAGAAGTGTTGAATGCTACAGAGACGGGTGGAGAATGCAGCCTTGAAATGGAGGCAAAGTATGAATGAGACATGGGCTGCCACAGAGGTAAATGTAATAGCTAGTCTATTGCAGGGTATGTTTTTTGTTGTTGTTATTTTAGAACCTAATGGGGTTTAACACAAGGCAATACAATCCACCATTGGAAACTCAATATTTTTTAAGCAGTGTGAAGCATCCAAATGCAATCCAGCCTTGGCACCCAGGCCAGACACACCAGCATTTATACTACTTTTTAAATTAAATTGTGCCCAGTTTGCTAAACTGAGATTTAAAGCATGCAGTTAAAGATGAGTCTTCATATATTTTCACAGGATGGTAGAGCACCCCACAAGCTTTAAAGTCCAAGTTGCTGTAATATGCAAATAGTGATTTCAGGACCTAAAAATCACACTCGTCCACCACACACACACCCTCTTATGCCTCACTGTTGTATCATACTATTTAGAGATGCACCAATACCGTTTTTTCAGTATAGAGTACCGATATTTTTTTTTCCGTACTCGCCGATACCGAATACCAATACTGGAAGTCCCATTAAGGAAGCCGGGCGGCGTCTAATGACTCGCTGCCCGGCTTCCCGATTAGCCGGGAGCCATCTCCATGCTCCCTCGTCACCAGGTGACAAGGCATGGAGCCGGCTTTCTGGCCAATCCGGAAGGCGGGGTGGCGGCTAAAGACCTGCCGCCTGGCTTCCTGATTGGCCAGCTTCCCGACAAATCATTAAGTCGGGCGGCGAGTCATTATATGGCAGGGGGGGTAATGACTCACTGACTCACTCACTCACTCACTCACAGAAGGTGGATCTCAACCAATCGACAGTGGGGAAGGGGTGGGTAACAGGGTAGGTTTTGCACTTGAAGGTTCTCAATATAAATAAAGAGAACATGTTTTTCATCTAAACATCCTGATATAGCAAGATAGGGCAGCAAAGCAAAAACATTTAAATTTATATTTATTACTTTATTATGTTGCTCCCATTCATTGGCTCTTAAAGTATAACGGAATAGGGAAGTTTATTCTGATTCTATAACCCCTTATTAAGCCTCTTCTATCTGTTTATTGTGGACCTACATTTTGAGTTTAAGTCTGTGTTAAGTAGTAAAGCTCAATGATTGTAACAGGATGTTAAAAAATTTTTTTGTAAAAATCTGTAATACAGACGCATTTCACCTTAAAGCATGCCCTTAATATCACTGTCCTTTCTATGTACCTGGTCTGTTCCTGGAATGAAGGCGGTATCTGAGCCCTGCCGTCGGTGCTGAAAAATTTTCGTAGAGATGACTGGGGAGGTATGAGAGCTGTCCAATCCCAGGTCAGATAGAATAGACGTTCGATTAATGGAATACTGGGGAAAGAAGAACCATGCTGTTGAAAGGGAAGCTCCAGCTAAACAGTTCAATACACATTTGAAAGTGTGTGTGTGTGTGTGTGTGTGTGTGTACTTTTCACCAGAATAAAAAAAAGGTTTCTTTGAGGATGAACATAGTGTGTTAAATGGCTTCATTTTTCATAGCATAGGTGCAATGCCCTGCCCCACCCTATTCAAAGTTAACAAACCGTTTCAATTCAATGAATTACGAGATTCTCTATGGATTGGACAAATCTATTCAGCACAAAAAATAAAAATCCTGATCCAACTGATTAATAAATTAATGAATTCATCTGTAATTCAAAACAGTATTTAAAACCATCCAGCAGAAATTCTAAACAAAATCGTTTTTTTTGTTTAATGTTGTAATAAAGCATAATGAATCATGCATTTTTAGGAGGATTGTTGTTTATCTTCAGCGGTATTTTGATTGATTGACTAGCACTTTGCACTTCTTATACAGTTATAAGTGGTACTCATTTATCATATATTTATAGCTTTATGATGCACTAGTAACGGATGAATTTTATGCATTTTTAAAGGGATTAACCATGCACTTTTATTAAGGTAAGATATTGTCACATAACTTTTTGAATAGGTACTGTTGTACACTCTTTTATATCTATAAGTGATTGCAATGTTAATATAGCAGCTTCCTTTATTTAGTTTAGATGAATCTACTAAAGCATGGAATCTTATTATTGACAATGCATATTGCTATATAAACAGAAACATTAAAAATAATAAGCTTCAAAATGTATTTTTTACATCAAAAATGAAATTAATTCACTCTGACCAGTATCCCTCACCTCACTAATAGACGGTATCCTTTCCGTACCAGAGTCCAAGCCACTGTCGCCATCTTGTGAGTCCATGGAGAGACGGCCTAGAAAAAGGAAATCAGACTTTTGTCACAGGATGCACAAAGAAACTAGGAATATAGAACATAAACATCACTATGAGGGGGGTTTATAAAACGTTTGCAGAGACGTTCATCCTGCAAAAATCTTTTACAATGTGGCCAATGTATGGAGCTGAAGAGCAAAGGAATTTCCTATGCTCCTCGGCTCCACCTATTGGCCATAATGCAACGCGAATGTAAAGGTCAGATTTTCGCAAAACGAACAGCCAACATTTTAGAAATACACCCCTGTGAATTCTTTGTACTATAATATATGTTCCTATTTATTATGGACTTGTTTATTTAGCTTACACAGAAGAGACCAAAAATGAACAACTCACATTCTGGTGGTTTGTATCCTACGGAGCTGCAGTCACTGTAAGTACGCAGTATATCCTGGAAGCAAAAAGGAAAAAAGAAATTAGAACTAAGAATTCAAATATTACTACAATGGGTATATGTGAATCCACAAGCATCAGAACAAAGGACTCTGCTCTTAATTCCATAATACTGCTCTTCATTCCATTTTAACACCATTTATTTTCTGCATCTTGCATCCTATAGGTCACACTTTATATTTGTGAAATGTACGAGGGCCCCTTGATCTATGGGGAAAAGGAGCCCTAACTTCTGAAATATGGCATAGTATGGAAATTAGCTACGTCTTCTTTTCTCTTTCTCCATTCCCCCACAAATTATTTGATTACTTATGCAGTATCACAGTTTGCTATTGGCCATTCTATGTTTATTACCTGGGAATGCATGGGGTGGGGAGTGTGAGTTGCGTGTCTCGTATATTATTTGGTTGAGAATACTGTAGATGTTGCCAATAGTTCCAAATGTTTATGGAAGAGATCACATAGAAATCAGTGGATCTATCTATTTAAAAGGAACTGGGATCTCAACACTCCTTCAAAAGTTCAAATGTTCCAAAGTTTTCCAAGCAAGCTCACTGGCTCTGCTGAGATGTCTTCAGCAGCATAACAGGTCTCACTTGGTGGGTACCCAAAAGCAACTTAGAATATAAACATATATTAAATAGGTACCAAAGCAAAAGGTGAAAGGTCCAAGGAATCCTTAACAATTCAAGCACAGAGGAAAAACAGCTAACGCATTTTGGGGGCAGCAACATTTCCCCCTCCAGCTTGAGCTTGAAACAATAAGGTGGAGACGTAAAAAAACTCAAAGGACTGAAATCAAAAGAATTTCTTATTTGGTATGGATTGAAATCTGTAATTGGACTGTAGTTACACAATGTGTAGATTGATTTGTTAATTAGGTCCTTTCAGTAGATTATGGACTGGGGTTAAAATAAATGACAATATTTAACGCGCATATTAAAATGCAGATAAGATGGTATTTTCTTAATGCAACATTTTAAGGCCATGTAAGACCTCTTCAACAGGCATGTGCGGCCTTAAAAAAATTATTTGCATTGACACTGATTACGAGTCTATGATGTGCTGGGGACATATGTGCTCATATATGTACTGACACCGGTCAAACTACTGGTAGTTGCTACAGCACCCTCCTGCTTCCGGCCTTGTCCAGGAACAAGTGCAATGGGAATATACCGAGTGTCATATTATTTGGGAACGGCTCACTTTAATTTTAGATCAAATGTTTCATGTTGATTGAAGCATATGAATATCAGTGGTAATGCTTACCACTCCATGATGGAAGTAGAGTGTTTGTCAACTGAAACATGGCAACTTGTTACATAGGGTATGCTATTTATCACATTACCTTTTGGTAATATGCTGTGTGACATATGTCTTGTAGGATACAATCATAAAGAAAAGATGGTAGTTTTAAATTAAGAGTGACGTCCTTCTTGCCAATCTTTGCAAATTCAAGATTTGCAATGGGCATACTCAAAATAAATTTGAGTTGACTATCCAATACATTGCATATAAGAAACACAGCTGTTTGCATGCGATTTGTGCTTGTATAGATATTCCTTGTGTGTTCCAGTTTCCATACACAGCTTGAATACATGCTGGTAAGGTCAAGCGGATACTCAATAAATTGTCTGTAGAATGTTTCCGTATATGGTATGTGTGCATTATTGTATTAAATCCAACCTTACAGATAAATAGAAGCAGCTTATAACTCTACATGTGCCCTGGTGTTAAACACAACCTAGGGTCAGGAGGGGTGGTGGTCACATTTGTGAGAGGGCTTGTGCAAATTCAGACGACTTGGGTTCACCCCAAGCCCCCTCTCATCACTAATTAGCACCCAGCACTTACCCCAGGGCCTGCTGTTTCTTGACGAATCTTTAGCTGCAGTTGGTAGACTCTCCGTCTGGCCCCTTCCATCTGTTCCTGCAGGCTGGGATTTGGGGTTCGGTTATAAACTTCACACAGTGTCTGCAGAAAAAAAAATTAAATAATAAATATGTAGCAAAAAGAACAAGCAGATTTAATAACCCAAATCAGTATTTAAATTGTTTGTCATGGATCCCTAATCTCTAAAACCAAAATGTGTAAGTTGTATGCATGAGTAAAATGAGAAAAAAAAAAACGATGGACATCTTTGCAACACATTTCTCCAAGTGTTACCCCATTAAAAGTGCCGCAAGTTATACCTGCTCATCTGACCCTAGAGCTGCAGTCCTAATCAGTGAGCCACTGTGCCTGTTTTTCAAGTACAGCACCGTTTAGACAAGATTTCAACACCTACCTGTAGCTCTGTCTCCTCTTGTTTCAGCATATTGCGCAGAATTTGAGAGGCATGTTTCTGGACCTCAGGATCCTGCAGCAACAAAATACAACTAAGTAATTCCAGAAAAACAAAATAAACATTCAATCCACAAAGTCACCCCAAGGTTCCCTCATCATTACCTGTAGTGGTTTAGGCCCTGTGATCCTCTGGGGAGGTGGAAGAGGGGGAGGAGGCGGGACAGGAGAAGACAAGGTGTTCCGGGGGGATACAGAGGAGCTGACGTCATGCTGATACCCAGATGTTGCCATGGAAGGCGGAGGGGAACCCAGCAGTGTGAGTGCAACGTAGGTCCCAGCTGGTACAAGAGAAAGGAAATGGTTATGTGAGCAAGCAAGGGCAAAAGCTTATGTAAATGTCTGAGTACGGCCATATAACATTTCATATTTTGTTATTAGCCCCATCAAAATCAAAAGTCATAGGGGTGAATTTATAAGACCTACATGAGTCATGTTGTATGGGTATATTTATAGGATCTGCAAGGGTCAAACGTCTTGGGGGTGTATTTACATGACCAACATGGGTCAAAAGTCTTGGGGGTGTATTTATAGGACCTACATGGGTCAAAAGTCTTGGGGGTGTATTTAGATGACCAACATGGGTCAAAAGTCTTGGGGGTGTATTTACATGACCAA